GTAACCGGGTGCACGCACAGTAACGCAATCATAGCTCAACACAAAGTGGAGTCCTAACGGTCGACTCTCCATCCAGTGCAAGTGAAGCTCCACCGCCATTTCGGTCCATTGGATCAAATTTTCGAAAACTCTTTCCAGTTTGTGTGTGTAGTATTTATAGCATAGAAAGGCTAGTAAGTCACAGACATTCGTTTGCAATTTTATCACATCTCAACAACATAGCGAGAGAGAGAGAGAGAGAGAGAGAGAGAGAGAGAGAGAGAGAGAAAATGGTGGTGGGCAAGCTAAGATACGAAGAGTTACGGAGGCAAGAGGTTGGAAGAGAGAACAAGAAAAGGATGGAACAACTCCATCTCCCTCAGCTCTTCAAGCTCTCAAAAAAACACTCCTCCACTCCTACTCCTTCTCCGTTCTCTCTCCTCTCTCTCTCTCTCTTTATATATATTAGATAGTATAGGGTTTGGGGTATTGATGAAGTGTGATGTTTTTTGTACAATGAATGAATGAATAGGTGAAGAGGGCGACACCTCGAATCATTCGGACAGAAATGGTGGCTGTAAGAAGGTCGAATCGCGTAGCCAACAAGCCTGCCCCTCTTTACACAGAAATCGTATGTTTTTTATTTTTCTAATCTCCCATCATCACTTACCCAACAATAATACTCAATATGACTTTGCTCCTTTCGTTTCTCTCACAGATCACTTATGAACGCCTTGAGCTCCCAGAAGGTACTATGTTCTACTCTATTTTTGGGGTTGAGTTCAGTCAATGATGACTTTTTTTTTTTTTTTGTTGATTCGTATAATTTATGTTACACGGGTGGGGGGTGTACTCCATTATTGGGCAGGAATTTTGAAGAAATTGGAATGTATAGGAGGAGGGATTTGTCGAATCGGGTTTACGCTTCGGATAAGCAAGGGAGTTGGCTATATCCAAAGCACAAGAGGTGGAATCGGGTCTTGGAGGAGATTATCCTACTTTTCTGTAAGCCCATGACCCAGTCTCATGTCCACTGGTGGGTTTTGGCTTGGTAATAACTCCCTTCATCATCCCTTACTCAAACCTTATGCTTAATTCTAAATTTGTCTATTTAAGTTTGCTCATATCAATTGGTATATCTTTTTACTTACTTAAAACTTGACTAAAGGCTGAGACAGCCTTCACGCTGTCTTTGAATCATGAATGTGGGTTAATACCTTTGTTTGACTCCATTAGATGAGGGATTGGATGAGGGATTGAATCATGAATGTGGGTAATACCTTTGTTTGACTCATAGATGAGGGGATTGGATTAGTACGTAAATCATGTTGGTTGGCAAAAGTGAATGAGACTAAATAAATAGTCTCATAGGACTATAAATCCTTCTCACATGTTGGGATTAGCATTCCCATGGAAGGGTGAGATTGCTTATTGGGTGTAAAAAGACCATTTTGCCTCTACAAAAACAACCAAATCACTTTTTATTAACAATGAAGAATTTTTACTTAATTTCATAGAATTTAATCAGAACCAACTAATATCACTGCACTAATAATCTTATCCACTTAATCCTACTACACTCGTGATTCTATCCAACCTAATTCGCCAAACAAACGAAGCCTAAGTGAATACATGTTTCTAAAGAATTTAGTGTTTTCACTACACATGCTGCAACCTATGCAGGGCAAAAGAAATTAATGCAACCACCCATATTGCATGAAAAGCCTTATCTATCTTTTAATAGTTTCACTGCATGGCCAATTCCACCAAATTAGACTTAGAGTTATAATTTTTGTAAGCTGAAAAATTTATGGCATATTTATGATTCAATCCTTTATTTGACTATTAATGGCTAAGGGTTATTTATACATCAACACTACTACAATCACTGAATATTCCAATGAAGTTCCTTCCTCATAAATGTTCCGAATTTTTCGTTGAAACTGTATCTTTTTCCTCAGGGCCGTAGCCTCAAAGATCTTCTCACTTTGAATGGTTTACACACCCACCCCTTGTTTTTTAAATAGTTCGGAGTTCCCTATGTACCAAAGACAATTTCTCCTTTTATTTTTATTTTGTTTTTGTTTTTGTTTTTAATGATTGAATTCATTTAGTTTTGAAGAAATAATAATCATTTGCACAAAGCTTTATGAATGAATATAGGGCCTTCCAGTTCTTCTGCCGCAGAAACCTTCCAAGGTCGTATGATGAACTGTTACATTTGGTAGATGAAGAGGGAGAAGAGTACCCAAACAGCCTATACTTGTCTAGAAGGCCTGGGCTTAGTGGTGGATGGGAGAGGATTTTCAATTGATCATGGTTTGGTAGATGGTGATGCAATCGTATTCCAACTAATCCGACCTACAGTTATTTAAGGTAATGAATCAAACTGACTTACTTCTGATTGAAGCTTTGCTTTGGAAAAATAAAAAAAAATAAAAAAAATAAAAAAACACTACATGGTTCCAGGTAACACATTTTACTTGTTAATCCAGGTGTACATCATAAGGGCAAATAGTAAAGTGGGGTAACAAGGATCTTTGAAATGTCTTGCATGTTTGATCCTTGGGGTGCGAATGAGCAAATGCAGGTAACATTATTTCTGGAGAAAAGTTAGGGATCATGAAATTTTTTCATGAAAATGATCTATGAAATATTTATGATCCTTGATTACCTTGATTAGTGTGTGGTGATTTATTCTAAGTGTAATCTAATGATTACAAAACTTTCATGATTATTTTCATGAAAGGTTTTTCATGTACTAGCATTATGTTGTTTTCTGGTATTAAGACTAATAAAGCGAAACATATTAACTGTTTGGTTATCTAATTTTTGAGCTCTTGGTAATGCTTTGTGGGCCTGAAACTAAGTTGTGTATCTCAAACATATCGATCATTTCATGGGCTTCCGATCATGTGTTTCCCTCCTCTCAATTTCAGTGTGGCCACTATGCTACCAATTCAAATTAATGGTAGTTGTTCCATCACTTGTCATTGTTTTCAATTTGGCAACATGACAGGTACTACGGATTTAAATAATAATAATAATAATAAAAATAAATAAAAAGCACTTATTTTTCTGACACCCTGATATATAGAGTAGTACTTTGAAAAATTAGTTCTTGAAAATGGAACTAATCCAATTTGTTTTAAATCGTGGAACTAATCCGGTCAATCCATTTAAAAACGATATGAACTCCGCCAGAGACTATATTAAAATCCCAAAAATTTGAAAATAGATGTATTTTATTTGGATTTTTTTCAGGATATATATCATGTAAATTGGGAAAAAAAATTGTTGAGATACATAGACCTTCAACACAGTACATGTTTTGTATGACTATGTTTATAATGTCAATTATAACATACAGTAGGAAAATAAACTAAGCATGCATGTATGAATTAACTCTAAATTCATCGTCTTTGGTCCAACTCTTGTACATAATCACAAATTCTTCTTAAAATGATCTACTTGATGGTTAAAAGTCATAATTAAGTCTTAAATTCTTACCTAGAGTCTTCAATTAGCTAGGTACTTTAACAATTTTTGATCAATTTAATTTTTTCTATATATTTACTCTATATACTTTTAAAAAATAAACAATTCAAATTATTAAAATAGATTCTAAAATGAGTCCAATAGTCGCACCACATTGGCTACTATCCTCCACACATAGCAGCCACTTCAATGTTGGACTTTTTCAAATAAATTATGCTTTGTCTTTTTATGTTTGGTCATTTTTTTTCTTCTATAAATTCTTCATGTTTTAATTTTTTTTTAATTTACTGCAAAATATAATTTATGTTCAAAACTAAAAAGATTATAACACATTAACAGCCAGATGATATAAAAGTATTTTATTATATATAACTCACACATTTAATACAAATCAAAACTGCAATATAATATATTTTTCATGTCATGTAGCAGTTAAATTGACATTTTTTTGGGTCTAATTTTAAATAATAATCTCCGTCTCAAAATAATGGTCCATTTTGGAGAATCCAACTTTTTTTGGTAGTATAGTTATTGCATTTAAAAAAAAGTTGATTTTCCAAAATTATCCTTTTGATAGTACATTTTTTGAAAATATCAATGTCATAATTGTACTTTTTATATTGTTTATTAATTTAAAAGAAGGGTAAAATAAGAAATTTATATTATTTTTGTACTTGATTTTGAAAGAAGGGCTAATATTTAAGGACAATGAAAAATGGAATAAGGGACTAATATTTTGGGACGAAAGGAGTACTTTAAGTATAAATTAAAAAAAAAAAATTAAATACAAAAGACTGAAGTGAAAAAAAAAATGAACAACCAAAATAAAGAAATAGATAAAACATAAAGGTCTTATTTGTTTGGTAGATTAAGTTGGATAAAATTATGAGTACTGTCGGTGGGATTGAGTGAGAAGATTATTAGTATGGTGATACTAGATTGAAAATGTAGGATAAAATGTGTTTATTTAATTCTTAGTATGGTGATTTTAATTAATCAAGACTAAATCTATAAAACTACCAAAAACCTTTCCTCACATATAATATAAATTTGTAATATGTGGAAGGCAAAATGGTAATTGAGCCATGAATTTGTATGAAAAGATTAGCTTTCTCAACCCTTCCATAAGAATGCTAATCTCACCATAAGAGGAGATTCATACTCCTATAAAATCGCTATTCTCATGGAATTTTGTTACATATAAATATAGATTTTGTAAGTCTCACAAATTGATAATACAACACTCCCTTCCAAACCCAATCAAACATGGCCAAAGGGCACAATTTAATGGGGGGCAAAAACAAGCAAGCAAGGGTTGTAATTTGGCTGTGAGGTAACCGGGTGCACGCACAGTAACGCAATCATAGCTCAACACAAAGTGGAGTCCTAACGGTCGACTCTCCATCCAGTGCAAGTGAAGCTCCCACCGCCATTTCGGTCCATTGGATCAAATTTTCGAAAACTCTTTCCAGTTTGTGTGTGTAGTATTTATAGCATAGAAAGGCTAGTAAGTCACAGACATTCGTTTGCAATTTTATCACATCTCAACAACATAGCGAGAGAGAGAGAGAGAGAGAGAGAGAGAGAGAGAGAGAGAGAAAATGGTGGTGGGCAAGCTAAGATACGAAGAGTTACGGAGGCAGAGGTTGGAAGAGAACAAGAAAAGGATGGAACAACTCCATCTCCCTCAGCTCTCTCAAGCTCTCAAAAAACACTCCTCCACTCCTACTCCTTCTCCGGTTCTCTCTCTCTCTCTCTCTCTCTCTTTATATATATAGATATATAGGGTTTGGGTATTGATGAAGTGTGTGTTTTTTGTACAATGAATGAATGAATAGGTGAAGAGGGCGACACCTCGAATCATTCGGACAGAAATGGTGGCTGTAAGAAGGTCGAATCGCGTAGCCAACAAGCCTGCCCCTCTTTACACAGAAATCGTATGTTTTTATTTTTCTAATCTCCCATCATCACTTACCCAACAATAATACTCAATATGACTTTGCTCCTTTCGTTTCTCTCACAGATCACTTATGAACGCCTTGAGCTCCCCAGAAGGTACTATGTTCTACTCTATTTTGGGGTTGAGTTCAGTCAATGATGACTTTTTTTTTTTTTTTTGTTGATTCGTATAATTTATGTTACACGGGTGGGGGGGTGTACTCCATTATTGGGCAGGAATTTGAAGAATGGAATGTATAGGAGGAGGGATTTGTCGAATCGGGTTTACGCTTCGGATGAAGCAAGGGAGTTGGCTATATCCAAAGCACAAGAGGTGGAATCGGGTCTTGGAGGAGATTATCCTACTTTTCTGAAGCCCATGACCCAGTCTCATGTCACTGGTGGGTTTTGGCTGGTAATAACTCCCTTCATCATCCCTTACTCAAACCTTATGCTTAATTCTAAATTTGTCTATTTAAGTTGCTTCATATCAATTGGTATATCTTTTTACTTACTTAAAACTTGACTAAAGGCCTGAGACAGCCTTCACGCTGTCTTTGAATCATGAATGTGGGTTAATACCTTTGTTTGACTCCATAGATGAGGGGATTGGATGAGGGGATTGAATCATGAATGTGGGTTAATACCTTTGTTTGACTCCATAGATGAGGGGATTGGATTAGTACGTAAATCATGTTTGGTTGGCAAAAGTGGAATGAGACTAAATAAATAGTCTCATAGGACTATAAATCCTCTCACATGTTGGGATTAGCATTCCCATGGAAGGGTGAGATTGCTTATTGGGTGTAAAAAGACCATTTTGCCTCTACAAAAACAACCAAATCACTTTTTATACAATGAAGAATTTTACTTAATTTCATAGATTTAATCAGAACCAACTAATATCACTGCACTAATAATCTTATCACTTAATCCTACTACACTCGTGATTCTATCCAACCTAATTCGCCAAACAAACGAAGCCTAAGTGAATACATGTTTCTAAAGAATTTAGTGTTTTCACTACACATGCTGCAACCTATGCAGGGCAAAAGAAATTAATGCAACCACCCATATTGCATGAAAGCCTTATTCTATCTTTTTATAGTTCACTGCATGGCCAATTCCACCAAATTAGACTAGAGTATCAATTTTTGTAAGCTGAAAATTTATGCATATTTTGATTCAATCCTTTATTTGACTATTATGGCTAAGGGTTTATTTATGACATCAACACTACTACAATCACTGAAATATTCAATGAAGTTCCTCCTCATAAATGTTCGAATTTTTCGTGCGTGTATCTTTTTCCTCAGGGCGTAGCCTCAAGATTCTTCTCACTTTTGAATGGTTACACCACCCACCCCTGTTGTTTTTAATAGTTCGGATTCCCTATGTACAAAGACAATTTCTCCTTTTATTTTTATTTTGTTTTTGTTTTTGTTTTTAATGATTGTAATTCATTTAGTTTTGAAGAAATAAATAATCATTTGCACAAGCTTTATGAATGAATATAGGGCCTTCCAGTTCATTTCTGCCGCAGAAACCTTCCAAGGCGTGATGAAACTGTTACATTGGTAGATGAAGAGGGAGAAGAGTACCCAACAGTATACTTGGCTAGGAAGGCCGGGCTTAGTGGTGGATGGAGAGGATTTTCAATTGATCATGGTTTGGTAGATGGTGATGCAATCGTATTCCAACTAATCCGACCTACAGTATTTAAGGTAATGAATTCAAACTGACTTACTTCTGATTGAAGCTTTGCTTTGAAAAATAAAAAAAAATAAAAAAAAATAAAAAACACTACATGGTTCCAGAGTAACACATTTTACTTGTAATCCAGGTGTACATCATAAGGGCAAATAGTTTTAAAGTGGGTAACAAGGATCTTTGAAATGTCTTGCATGTTTGATCCTTGGGGGGCGAATGAGCAAATGCAGGTAACATTATTTCTGGAGAAAAGTTAGGGATCATGAAAATTTTTTCATGAAAATGATCATGAAATATTTATGATCCTTGGATTACCTTGATTAGTGTGTGGTGATTTATTCTAAGTGTAATCTAATGATTACAAAACTTTCATGATTATTTTCATGAAAGGTTTTTCATGATACCTAGCATTACTGTTGTTTCTGGTATAAGACTAATAAAGGAAACATATTAACTGTTTGGTTCTAATTTTTTGAGCTCTTGGTTAATGCTTTGTGGGCCTGAAACTAAGTGTGTATCTCAAACATATCGATCATTTCATGGGCTTCCGATCATGTGTCTCCCTCCTCTCACATTTTCAGTGTTGGCCACTATGCTACAATTTAAATTAATGGTAACTCTATCATCACTTGTCATTTGTTCAATTGGCAACATGACAGGACTACGGATTTAAATAATAATAATAATAATAAAAATAAATAAAAAGCACTTATTTTTCTAACGCCCTTGATATATAGAGTAGAGTACGGCTGGGTATGGTCCGGATTGAAGTAAAATCAAGATCAAGACCAATTAGTTTTTGAAAAATTGGAACTAATCCAATCTGTTTAAATCGTGGAACTAATCTGAGTCAATCCATTTAAAAACGGATTGAATCGGGTTTAGAATTATGGATTCATATATTTAAACAAAAAAAAAAAATATAGAATATTTTAATTTCATAAAAACAGAAACATAACATCATATTAGTTTCACAATAGTAACATGTATTTCCATAACAGTGACCTACTGTTCTAAAATTTAAACAATCAAAAGAAAACTGGTTTCATTATAAATATTTAGACCATTACAAATTAAAATTAAAAATTAACAAACAAAATCAATAAAAGAAAATATTATACTGGTTTAGATTTGAGTTTAAGATATGGAATAAAAGAAGATACTGTGCCGGGAGAGTGCATAGGTTATTTATATAGGTCCGGATTGGTCCCAATCCGAAACCACATTCAATCCGGAACCGATCCGTGAACTACGAATTTTTAATTTTTCAATCCAGAACCGAACCGCAGATTGGAAAAATCAATCCAAATCTACTGGATTGGACTAGACCAAATCAAATTACGAATTTTACGAATTCCTTACTCCACCCGAATGATGATGATAAGAAAATACCACTCGATAAATTGAGTTGAGGTTGGAGCTTTTTTTGGGTGAGGAGGGAGTTGATATGAATTTTGGGGTGGGGGAGGATTGTAGAAGGATTGAGATTGGCAGTGCATGCGATTCGCATGGATTTAGTATGTTTTTTTATTGTCCCTTAATATCTCCTAGTAATGTGTTTGATTGGTACAAATGGATGAGTTGTATTATATAGTACCATTGTCTTGTGTCAGTGGGATGAGTAATATTATATTATATAGGGACAGTTGATATGAATTTTGGGGTGGGGGAGGATTGTAAGAGGATTGAGATTGGCAGAACCGCACGGATTTAGTATATTTTTTTATTGTCCCTTAATATCTCCTAGTAATGTGTTTGATTGGTACAAATGGATGAGTTGTATTATATAGTACCATTGTCTTGTGTCAGTGGGATGAGTAATATTATATTATATAGGGACAGTTGATATGAATTTTGGGGTGGGGGAGGATTGTAAGAGGATTGAGATTGGCAGAACCGCACGGATTTAGTATATTTTTTTATTGTCCCTTAATATCTCCTAGTAATGTGTTTGATTGGTACAAATGGATGAGTTGTATTATATAGTACCATTGTCTTGTGTCAGTGGGATGAGTAATATTATATTATATAGGGACAGTTGATATGAATTTTGGGGTGGGGGAGGATTGTAAGAGGATTGAGATTGGCAGAACCGCACGGATTTAGTATATTTTTTTATTGTCCCTTAATATCTCCTAGTAATGTGTTTGATTGGTACAAATGGATGAGTTGTATTATATAGTACCATTGTCTTGTGTCAGTGGGATGAGTAATATTATATTATATAGGGACAGTTGATATGAATTTTGGGGTGGGGGAGGATTGTAAGAGGATTGAGATTGGCAGAACCGCACGGATTTAGTATATTTTTTTATTGTCCCTTAATATCTCCTAGTAATGTGTTTGATTGGTACAAATGGATGAGTTGTATTATATAGTACCATTGTCTTGTGTCAGTGGGATGAGTAATATTATATTATATAGGGACAGTTGATATGAATTTTGGGGTGGGGGAGGATTGTAAGAGGATTGAGATTGGCAGAACCGCACGGATTTAGTATATTTTTTTATTGTCCCTTAATATCTCCTAGTAATGTGTTTGATTGGTACAAATGGATGAGTTATATTATATAGTACCACATTTTTAAGGGGATAATTAAAAAAAGTTTGTTAGATATTTTAGCTAATATAACTCTAATTTTGAGTTCCAACGGCCTAGTCATTGGATTAGTTACTGTATCATCTTACCTTTTCGCTAGCTACAATTAAAGAGCCTCATAGACTCTCTAAACAAATATGTATGTACATGTCTTGAATTTTTGTATATTTATGTCTTAGATTTGGGATTTTATATATGTATACATGTATGTAGCAATTTTACATGTTCTTTCAATTGTAGTTGATGAATTACGGAATAACTTATTTTATATTTTGTATTTTTTTTCTCTCCTCATTCTACAGGTTTTGTATGCTTGTATGGACAAATTTATTATTATTGCAAATTTACAGTAGTAAAATATCAACAATTAGTATTTTTTGTTTTAAAAATTAATTAAGTTAGTTTGAATGGTTTGAGAACACAATAATTAAAGTAATTAGGTAAAATAAAGAGTGTAGAGCACTTGGAGTTGCTTAATGGGATTAGTAATATAGTATTGTTAAATCGGATGGTCATGGGATTGTCCATGACACTCCGTTCAATGGTAACAAAAATAATTATCTCACTTTTATCCCATGTTAGTATCATATTCTAATAATCTTACTTGTACTCCCTACTTTAATATCATTTCGAACATAGCGGTGAGGTTAGTGATAGGTTGCTGGCATCAATGAAATGAAATGCATATGCTAATTGTTCTTGATTTTTGAAAAAAGAACCATATATTTCGGTGTTGTTTGTGTTGTCTTCATCATGTTGTTTTAGCTTAAATTTTCCAGTTGCCCCTTCTGGTATTCAAATGTGTTCTCAAGTAGACAGTTTGCCGTTCATTTCTTGCAGGTGAAAAGAATGTTAGTTGCAGCAAAGTTGATAAGAGTCTCTTCTTCTTCTTCTCTCCTTTTTTTTTAGTGTATTTATTATTACTTGTTTGGAGAAATGCCAATCACTGATTTAGAGGTGTAGCTTAGCTTTGGCAATCAACAATGATGGGCACACATGATTTTTGTAGTTGCTGACCTGCCCATGTGTATGTATGAACTGTTGCTATTAAATCTAAATACTAATGGTGCTCTTTGGACCGTCCAAATCCAATGGGGTGTGACACTTTTATCTCTAAACTATATTTATACTATTATAAAGTGAAGTCTAAACTTGATATGTATATTTTTAAATGTAACTGCTAATTTACAACCTTATGATTTAAACATGTAACTGCACATCCATTTGGGTATGCAACCTTGTAATGTAACAGGAGTCCTCCCTTTGGTATGAACAAAAAATTATGTAATGTTTTTCTAAATTCCAAAATAGTTCAAACACATATTTCCCATAAAAAGTTAACTTCTGCTTTTAAATTGTGAGGGGGTAAAAGAGGAAAAAAAACAAGACACCTAAGTCTTTAGTTTGGGTAATTTTATTTTGGAGAAATTTCAGTTAAATGGATATTTTAAAAACTAATTACAAATAAATGATAAATTTTATAAATTTTAATAATTATAATTACAATTTTTTTCATGAATATGTAATAATTTTATAGAATTACCACCGATGTGTAATTTTTTTTTATTTACACAATAATTCTACCTCATTACACTATTTTTCTAATTACACTTCTTTCAAAAATTTTAAAAACTTATTTCATCTCTGTACACTCTTTTATGCCACTTATAGCCTCATTCAAAAGCCTTTTCTCTTCTCCTTACACCAAAAATCTATAAAACCCTAACTCCTCCATCTTCAATTACTACAATTGTCACTGCCAACACTACCACCTCTAAGCACTACCTTGCAACCCCACTGCAATGGTCACTACCTCGCAACCCTTCATCGTCACAATCATCACTCTACAATCTCCCTCGTGACCACCACTTCTATAGCTTCTTTCAATGTTTGTGTTTTGTTCACTGAATCACAGTTGAACAAATTTTATTTGCTCGGCGGGACATGGCCAGATTGTGTTTGTTCCGTTGAAAACTGCCAAACAAATCAAGTTTGTTTGGTTGCATCCCACCAAACGGGTCAAAATTGATTACTTAACCATGTTCAGCCATAGAAATCCATATAAACTTAAATTGTTGGCTACTGAAGACCGAACAATCTCAATTTATTCGGTAAATCAGAGTTGGAAGAAGTTTCGAACTTACTTTTTCCAAACAATGTGAAATTACACCAAAATGCTTGAAATTCATACCTAAACATCTTTTAAACACAAAAATCTTGTATATTATTTATTTATAATAATTATATAGTGAGTGTTTGGGAAGTGAGTTTTTTTGTGGTTGGATGTGATGTTTGTGAGAGAAAAAGTGAAATGATTATGGGGCTGGATGTGATATTTTGTTTGGATGTGTTTTTTTTGGTTTTGCAAAAAGTTGTCTTTTAGTGGAAAAAATCAAAAAATAATTCCAAACCCAAGTTCCCAAACACCACCATATACATTTTAAATATAAATTTTATTTATTTTTGTTTGTTGTGTGTTATTATTTATGTGTATATGTGCATTTGGATTTGTAGATGGACGGAGAGAGTGAAAGATGGGAGAAAGGATGGCGGTGATTGGTGGAGAGAAGTGATGGTGGCTAGGAGACGGTGGTTGTTGGAGGAGAAGCGGGATGATGGTGGTGGTAATGATGGGTGAAAGAAAGATAAAAGGATATAAAGAGAAATATGAACAGGAAGAATAACAAGAAAAATGAAGCTGTGTTTGGTTATGTGTTCCAAGTACATTTCCACCCACTCATTTGAGTGTGGTATTTGTTTTGAGCTTTCAAATTATAATTTCACACCTATTTTTAAAACTCCTTTCTAGGCGGAAAAATTTGGCTAACCCAGTCATCCTCAGTGTTCGATTTTTTTTCCCTTTTTCTTGGGCACCTGTTATTTTTATATTGTAAATAAAAAATATTTTGCGAAAATTTTTAAATTTTTATATGAGTTTTGAATAGAATTTTGGGTTGTGTGTTTGGTTATGAGTAAATTTTTGAATCAAATAACTTATCTAATTTAAAAAACTCAAAACTTCCTCCAAAACTCAATTCAAAACTCATAATCAAACAAATTTTCCACACTCAAATCATAATTCCAAAACTCACAAACTCAAAATACAATATTCTCAAACCATATTTAGAAAACTCTACCAAATGCTACCCAAAGTTTTTTAGTTCTTAATAGTAATCCTATAAAAGAATAAAAATATTATAATAACAGGTATAGTGAGCTAAAACGTTGTTGTGTAAGTAGAATTTTCCTTTTAGTTTTGTTAGGCAGTTCAAAAAATGTTTTAACTTTTTGTGTTCATCGAATTACACTGCCTTCGTGCTTCTTGTTAACTTGAATTGGCAAGGAGTTAGTTACAGTAAATTGGCAAGGAGTTAGTTACAGTAAATTGGCAAGGAGTTAGTTACAGTAAATTGGCAAGGAGTTAGTTACAGTAAATTGGCAAGGAGTTAGTTACAGTAAATTGGCAAGGAGTTAGTTACAGTAAATTGGCAAGGAGTTAGTTACAGTAAATTGGCAAGGAGTTAGTTACAGTAAATTGGCAAGGAGTTAGTTATATTGCACTGCAACGCTTCTTCCATCTATGACATTGTTTATATTTGTGGTATATATGACTATAGTTGGGAGGCTTTAAATGCATCCTAAAATTTTGATTGAACATCTCAACTTGATGAATTATTATTATTATTATTATTATTAAGATCCTCCAATCTCCGCCCCCATTCTTCGGATGAACGGCCGTCTTGGTCGCCTTAGCTTCTGTGTGCTCGCTTTCCTAGCAGCCTGACATCTGATGCATTCGCGCGGATATCATATTACACTAAAAGCCATCGCTCTCCCCCTCCAACCAAGCACAACGTAACTTACCAACCCACTTTCTACACATAACAAGTCCCCCCACCAGAAACATTAACCAAATCCAATACACTACCACCACCTATAATCCCACGCATATATACCATCCCATCCTATCTACCTAAGCCAGAGGTTGATTATTCAGAAGGCACGATTAAGTACATGATGATTAACACTTCAACCCACCTGAGTCGTTTGCGTTGTAGAAGCCAGAGGTGAGAAGCAGGATGCTTGACGAACTTACCGGAG